ATTATTTCCAAAGTGGAATAATCTTCAACAGAGGCAAATTTGCATAAAACAAATCTAAGACAGTCTATATGCGTAAGGATAAAATTAAAGACAGTCCTTACGTTTGTGAATAAAGATAGCTGTAAAATATAAGAAACGACTAAATCAACGTTTGACAATCAATCAAAAGGGTCTTCATTTTTTTTTCTATCAAATTCGATGCCGATCTGAGTCGGTCGAAGTTCCAGATCACTGCCAAAATGGTGATGCAATGAGAATTATTCACAGTAGAATTACATTAAAACTTTCTGGATCCTGGATCTAAGACACACCTCTGGTAATAATTTAATAAAAATCTATTCATAATTTCTTAAGTTACCCTGCGCAGGATCCGGATACTGATCCGGACCACCACCAAAATTTAATTGCATCTAGGATGGGCTAAGGCACACCTCTGGTAAAAGTTTCCTTAAATTCTGTTTACAATTTTTATTTATTCTACTAACCAACCAACAAACTAACCAACGCTACCAAAAACATAACCTGCTTGGCGGAGATAATAATTGTAATAATAATAGTAATAATAGTGATAGTAATAATGATAATGAGAGTAATGATAACGATAATAATAATAATGATAATAATGACAATGATGATAATGGTAATGATAATAATAATAATAATGTTTTTTTATTATTACTATTATCATTGTTATAATGATAATGATAATAATTTTTAGTATTGATATTATTGTTATTATGATAATAATAGTAATGATAATGATAGCAATATTGATAATAATGAAAAAGATAATGATAGCAATATTGATAATGATGAAAAAGATAATGACGATCATAGTTCTAATAATAATAGTAGTCCTAATACTACAACAACAACAAAAAATACTCGTTTTCATAGTTCACACTTTTTGAAAGTCAAATGCTCTCAGTCAATAAATCATGATGTAAACTTTCCTTGCCTTATGCATCTAGATCCATTTCTTCTCTTTCTGCTTTATTTATTTGTTTTTCTTTATTATCATTTTTAGGAGCCTCTTCTGAAGTACAATTGGTAATCATTCTCAAAGCAGGCGCGACTACACCATTTTTGCTATTTATAATAAGTCCAGAATAGAGATGATAAGGGGAATGCTTGTCAATGCTATTATAATAGTCC